CCCAGATGTCTCTTGGTCCCCACCAACCCTGTCACATAATGACGGATTGTGTGAGCCATATGCTTCTTGACTTAAAGCACTTCAGTTGAGCTCTTCATCTCGGGAGTCAAGCAAGTAATTTCGTCCATATCCTTAAGAACATCAGCTTGCTACGCCTGCAATACCACCATTGTATGCAATGCCACACCCACCAGCCATGTTAGCATATTATTGATAACACTTTACTAAGGACTTAAAAAAATTTAATAATACAATTAAATATTTGCACCAGAAGACATGGATAATTTGGAATAGTCTTCAATGCTATCATTAGGCATTACGAAGCGGATATCGTCCTCTTTTGGAAGACCAAGCAAAGTAGTTTCGCTTTCACAACGAAGCACACAGTGCCTTCACGACATGGCTGCAGCGTCAACAAAACTACAGTGAGAATAAAAGTTACGCCTTCTTTCTTTGCATGAACATTTGGGTGGTGTTATGCAAATATTCCCACATCGTGACGTACATATGTGGGGGCGTGTTAGAACGAACCGTTTTAGGTAGGCGTGGCTGACTCTTAACTTTTATAAAGAATATCTCTTTTGATTTGAGACTTTAGTCTTTGCAACTTTACAGATCTTCTTTATGCACCAAGAGCTTGTAACACTCCAAAGAGAAAGGAAAAATTGAAATCGCATCATATGACCCCTTTAAATTTAAAGAAAATATTTGTTTGATCAATATTCTTTCAAAATTGAATGGTTAAGCTTGACAAATGCAGTCAAAACTACAAAAGAAAATGAATTATTTACCTCGCTGTCCTCCGTACTGTATGTAGAAAGGTCTAAATGATTACAAAATGGTTAGATAATAGTTCATCCTATATATCCAGATGTTCTCATGAAAAAGATTTTGAGATTTGTGCATCAACACCAAAGTGTATCGTGTTCGTGGAAAGAGCTGGATGTCTGCTCATCTGGCCTTCAGTTTGTCTTCTGTACAAACGCTTTGTGCTGGGCTGTAGCTTTGACCCATAACATGAGCTGTCTTTCCTCAAACATGGCCATTCTTAACATTTAACTGATAGCAGAGAGAGTGTGTATGGACGTCTGCCAAAGCTTTTGTATCGTCTGTATATCTGTGCCTTCTTTCCTTTTCATTCCACGTAAAATCCCAATGAGACGATGATTGAGGTGCGGTGTCATGTTTGGAGTCAGAAGACGAGCATGCCAAGGGCACAAGCAGGTTGCTGTGAAGAACATCAGGGCTGTATTTTGAATTTTTTATCTCTGTCACCTGCATGATTATAATATGATGCTGTCCAAGAAGCATATTATATTTACCTTGTGTTTCTGTTACGGCTTGTAATATTTTGTTCCTCTAGGTGAGAGTTCATTTTGGAGAAAACATGAATTTGCCCACCAGTGTGTCATAGCTATGAATAGGAAGCTCATTTCTTTTTATACTTGGTCTCCGTCCTTATCAAAATTATGTGATTTGGTCAGTATTCTAACCTTCATTGTGTGAAAAATTCTTTTCCCCCCCTTTGTAATTTAAAATGTAGCATGCAGCACTTTAGTTTATTCATGTTTCAATAGTTTACTTTATATGCTTCAATTTTGTTTTATTTACGCTTTTCCTGTTTAAATGTTATTTGTACAGTATGACATTTTAAAGCTTGACAGAAATTCTGTCTACAATAGTCACTTGTAAGCAGTGCCGATCCTAGACTTCTGGGGGCCCTAAGCAAAACTTTGTCGGGGCCTCAAAATGCTCCTCAACCCCTTAACCTATTCTTTCAGAGCAGTTTCACTGTCAAAACAACAGTGAATTAAAAAAAGTAGAAATTAAATGAAAGTGAATTAAAAGAAAAAAATATACAAATAAAATAAACAATTTAGCCTATAATAGCCTACTATACAGAAATTGATTAAAGTAATCAAATGTACAAATAAATCACTGCATAGACTTCACCATATAAATTAAGCATAAATTGATTCATAACAAAGTTATGAACAATATTCAGTGAAGAGCAGTGATTAATTCTGTCCTTTTCTTTTGTTGTTTGATTAACAGATGATGACAAACAGCGGCAGGTTTATACAGTAGAATGCTGTCACGCTATGCACAGATCTAATATACTGACTAGCATTCGATTAGGCTACTTTTCTAACCGTTTATGTTCACTTAAGATATAACTGACTGTGTTTAGTGAAAACTCACCAAGACTGATATTTTGACATGAAATCTAAATTAGAATGTTGTGGATTTTAGTCCATGGCTATTAGCTCATCTGCCCCATATGGTTTATTGTTCAGTAAAAGGCTCACAAAAATAAGAATGTCCCTTATTATAAATACTCCCTCTATCTAATGCTACAACAGAAGCAAATGAATGGACAGCTGTCATTAGAGGTGATAACCATGAGCTTTACCCTCGAATCTTGACTCAAAATAGAATAGCTAATGATGGTGGTGTGAGGTCCTCCAGAGATTGTAAATGTAAAGAGTCTACACTGCTTTCATCCATGCTACAAGCAGTCATGTGTGAATTCTGCTGTCTTCAGTTTGTCCCAAACTAACATCCTGTTTCAATAGGGAATAGGCCAGGAAAGAACAGACAATCGTGCTTGTCAAACCATTTTTGAAGTAGGACATTTAGTCAAACAAGAGTGTTGAAGTTCATTCAGAGTTCAAGCTTGAAGGTTGTCTGTACTAAAGGCCTTTTTAGCTCATAAGCCATTCAAACATGTCACTCACCAACACCTCATGATATCACAGATGAAGCCTCCCTGCACCTGATTCTGTATCTGTTCACTGATTGGTCGCTGTGTTTTCTTGTGCAGCAGCTTGTCCAATGGGCTGTGCCATGTGCTTTCCCCGCCCCTTAACACTGTCTTGTCTGTGCTGTTTTGCTCTTGTAGGGTCCACTCTGAAACGGCTATGTCTAGGGAAAGAGCACAGCAGTAGTAACTATCCCACTCCTTTCTTCTTCAGTCCTAGTCCCTCTGTCTACCTTTTTTCTTTTATCTTTGCCGTTTTCATGTCTTTTGTTGGCATGAGCGATCACCTGTGTGATAAGTGCTTAATGTTTGCAACAGCAGGTTGCGAAATGTGCGTAACCGTTTTGATTCTTTATATTAATTTGATATTTTTTTCTAGTGCATGGTGATATCTGTGCGATACAGTCAAGTGCTTATTGAAACCTTTATGATTTCTGTATTCCTGGCCATTTAAGTGCATATGTGTATGTGTGTTTGTTCTTTGTTTGGTTCTGTAATCATCCAGCTGCTTGATTTTAGGCTAGAAACAAGTACTCAACAAGAAATGCGCAGATACGATCAGATCCACCATCACATTTCAAGCACACCCGGTGTGCATACTCAGTGTTTGTTCTTGCATTACTGTGCTGGAACAAACCTCAAACTTGTTTAAATCTAGCTTCATGAATAATGCATGTTGACAGTTTAACTTAAACTAACATGCTCGGCAAGACTGCATTTCGTACATTATGCCCAGGCCACCAAATTTTGCTGAATTGTAATGCCATTCAAACACCAAGCTATTTTGTAAACAATTTCTTTGTAATTTCTCAAAAGGTGACACAGCCACATATTCAACCTTACATCTGGCATGTTCGATTGTCTCTCCAGTCACAATTGTTTTTAGTGGATTGTTGAAACTAACTATGAATCGTGTCAAATAATCAAATCTATTTGCACCCCAAGTATGAATAGTGCATAATTTATTAAAAATTGTTATTAAATCATTGTCAAACCAAATGTTTAGACTTCTAATAATGCATCTATTCATTAGGGCTTGTTTTGTATTAACCGTGATTTTAACCACACTTCACTGCGTAACGTGATGAATGACATCAACAGTCTGTGAGCAGCAGATTGGTTACAGAGGACCTCAGGGTGAATTCTCTGAGTTTTTGCTTGAGGTCTTTCTCAATCTCTTTCTCAGGGTCTCATAGTACTGGTGCTGCCCATGTGACTTCAGCATCCAATCAGAACCTGCCTCCCGCAGCCATGCCTGCTTCATCCTCTCTGCCGATCACGGTGCTTGTTCAGGCTCAAGCAAACAACAGCAACAACAAAAGCGGTACATTCACCGATGACCTACACAAGCTGGTTGATGATTGGGCAAAAGAAACTCTTGCCTCTGCCTCTCAGCTCCGCCCCTCTGTGTGTCAGAGTAGACCACCGAGATCTCATCAGTCCTTCCAGACCTACTCCACTCCAATGGCCAGAATCCCCAATCAGGTACTTTATACTGTTTGTCCTTCAGAACCTTAAAGGGATAGTTCACCTTCAGTTGCTGGTCCTCATTGATATGCATAGTGTTTTTTCCCATACTATGGAAGTCAGTGGGGACCAGCAACTGAAGGTGAACTTTGCCTTTAACAAATGACAGAACATTTTTGTGTTGAAAATATTTGAATGAGTACATACAATCTGGTTTACATAATTTGTTCTTACATCATGTTTGTAAAAAAGAATGTCTGACTAATATATTGCATTTGTGGGTGCTGATGCATGTTTGGAGCTTGTTGCTGCAATAAACAGTGTTGTTGGGTAGAGCTTGAACTTGTCAGCTAACTAGCGTTCAACATAAACAGCAGCACATACTGACATTTGTGGGAATCACCCATCAATTACTCTCATCTGACCTACAGTAACATCTCAGGTTACGCATGTAACCATGGTTCCCTAAGAAGGCGAATGGAACACTGAGAAGATCGCTATGGAGAATGTATAAAAGGTGTAATAGAGCACTTGAAGAACACATCATCATTTGTCTTCTTTGTCTTCAGGAGACCATTTGTTTGAGCATGTGTAAAGAATGTGACTAACTATAAAACACCCAGGCAACTGTTTTTAGAGAGTGTGTACCTCCATGTCAGAGGTTATTTGACACCTTAGGACAAACACGACTCAATGTGTTTATGCGTTTGGGTGAGGAGCACATATGTTCAGTTCTCGAGCAAGCTAAATGCACTTTGGGCATGTATGCAATCAAAAAGCTGGATGTACTTTTTTATGCATTCATGGGACTGACTAAAAGAGATTGTAAGAAGCTCTGTTCTTCTATGATTCTCACCTGAGGAAAAGTAGTCAGCATTGCATGAGCATGTTCGGCTCTCGAGGGAGTTGAACAAATGATGCACTCTTGCACCTATTTCCTGCTGTTCGTGTCCCACTGCCATCAGAGTGGCTAGACGCGATTGATCACTGGGATTGTAGGAGGAGCATGGAAGGAATCTGATGGAAAGTGCATTATTTTCCAAAGTCCTCCTGTTGTTTCTAATTATGTGGTACTGTGTAATGTGAACTGAGTAAACAGATTAATGTGGAATATCTAATTCAAAGGTTTTAGATGCAGTGACAGTTGGGGCATATATTATTGATAAATCTGCCCCTCCGCTGTTGTTAGGTGCTATGTGTGTCTCCTTGATAGCTATTCTGGACTAGGACATAATAAGGCTTTACAGAGTCATCTTGTTAAGGCCTCTGTCCTTGGAGCTTGAATTAGGGTTGTGTCAGGTTGTTAGGCTCTCTTGGGCCTCCCTGGTTACTACCTTTAATCAAGAGCCTCCTCTCGCTATGAGAGTGGTTGCTAGGCCCTTTCTTAGGCCTACTTGACAGCCATAGGATGTTTCTAGGCCACCTCTCGCTTGAGAGTTATGCTAGGCCTCTGTCCCTGTGAGCCCAGGTAGGGGCTAAGTTGCTAGACTCTCTGTGAGCCTCCTTGGCTGCTGCCTTTTTAAGAGGAATGTTATTCCTCGTATTGCTATAGAAAGTTGTCCTGTTGAAACCTCTGTTTCCTAGATCTCCGCTGGGATAAGAGTTCTGAGTTGTTAGGGTCTCTGTGATTCTCCTTGGGATGTTGTCCCATGTGTGGGATGTAGTTAGGCCTCCTGCTTTAGAGAGTATTTATGCAGAGCCTGTGACTTAGAGCTCGGTCAGACAGTAGTGCCAAGTTGTTAGGCTGTCTGTCAGCCTCCTTGGCTACTGCCTTTTAAGAGGAACGTTGTTCCTCCTCTTGCTATAGAAAGTTTCCCAGATCTCCACTGTCATAAGAGTTCTGAGTTATTAGGGTCTCAGTGAGTCTCCTTGGGAAGTTGTCCAGTGTGTAGTGTGTAGTTTGGCCTCTCGCTTCAGAGAGTCTTCATGCAGAGCCTCCGTCCTTAGAGCTCAACCAGACAGTAGTGCCAAGTTGTTAGGCTCTCTGTGAGCCTTACTTGGGAGAGGAGAGTTGTTAGGCTTTGCTTAGAGAGTCTTTTGGTTGAAATCACTCCTCAAAGCTCCACCTGGACAGCAGTATCAAGTTGTTAGGCTCTCTGTGAGCCTTCTTGATAGCTATTCTTAGTGTAGGGCAAATGTGGACCTCCTCTTGCTTTAGATAATCTTTATGTTGAGCTCATTTAGGGAGTAGTGTTAGGCTACTGGTGAGCCTCCTTGGTTACTGTCTTTAAATCAAAGAGTGCTGCTCCTCTTAGATCTCTTCTCACTGTAGAGAGTCATCCTTTTTGGCCTCCGCTCCCCAGAACTCCGCTTGAGTAGCAATTCTAAGTTGTTAGGCTGTCTGTGAGCCTCCTTGGAAGCTGTCTTGATTGTTGAATGTAGTTAGGCCTCCTATGGAGAGTTGTCATGCTGAGGCATTCTCAGAGCTCCAGTCAATATACTATATTGTCTTAAAGGTTTTCTCTGACAGCTGAACCCTTGAGCTCTGCCCACGGGCTAAATTTCTTTTTTAACGTGGTCCAGCAAAGAGGAGAGGAAGGGTGCATTCTGGGACTTTCTCTGATAGGGTTTGTAGCTCGGATTTTGGCTATAAGGAATTAAGTCACTGGTCACTGGTGTGTACCTTAGGGATTGGGACTTCAATGTCAGCCATTTAGGCAGTCTGTCCCTTCAGAGTGGGTATTTGTTCCCCATTGCGATCCTCTAAAGAGATTTGAAAGGGGAAGTCTCATGTTACGCATGTAACTGTTGCCATCTTCAGGTATTCATGCTTGTCTCCTTCAGACCAAAAGTGGTTGGCATGTCCTACAGATGCCCTTTTATACTGACAGTTACACTGGTAGTGACATCATAGGCTGTCACCGACCAATGTCATGTTCATTGTTGTGTTTTTTGACACATGCTTCAAACACTGGTCATGCTAGAGGTGTTCCCCATACAATCCCCTAAAAGGGATGTAGTGTGAGTTCCCATTCAAAAGGGATTTCAAAAGGCAAAAGGCAATTTCATGTTTTAACCACAGATTGTGATAGGCTAAAGTTTTGTAGTGCAGCTTTAAATTGAATGAATCTCAATGAAACCATTTACGTTGTTTATACATTGTGAAACAATTCACGAGTGTGCAAAGCTCATGCTAAATATTGTATTGTCATATCTGGAATATTAAGTGGATACTGACTTAAAAGCCTCTGATTGGCCATTTGTATTCACACGCTCAAACAGGTCTGTGATTGGCTACAATGCTCAATGCCGCAAAATAAACCTTTAACACTCTTCATAGAGTGCGTGCACACATACAGGAATGTTTAAAAGCTATCACTGGGTACCGGATCTACTCGGTACTCTGTGTCATTGGCTGGTGTCGTTACGTTTTTAAAATTGAACTACTGCTACTTTTGACAACACTAATAACAAGTGTCTTAAGCCAGCTGTACACTGTACACCATTTTTGATGTCTTTGGGATTGTTATGTCCGACTTAAATAATATGAGTGAGATATTGTGTAAAGCCCAGGTGTGCAGAATCAATGGCCTTGTGGTAGGGGTGTGTGATATATATCGTCTGCGATAATATCGTAATTGTGGTTTTAATGATGTGCGATTTGACATTATCGAGTATATCGCAAAAAAGTCAAACAAAACACACCTACAGAGTGCATACATACATTATATGATGAAATGCATTTTGAATGATCACAAAATTCAAGATATGGGGGCAGAAAACTTACATATTCATATAATTTCACATAGTTAATCAATATCACATGCAGAGTACCGTTTTTTTCTCCAAAAATTTTATACAACAGTTCAATAAACATTATTAATAAACATTACGTACCATATTGCCTGTTTTTGCTCTATTTCGCCAGCGAAATTAATTCCAATTATTGTGTTCGGACACATTTGGGAACGCAACATTGTGCTTGTGCAGCTAAAAGCCTTTGCCTTCACGCCTTATTCACATCTTTTCCTACCATGTCGGTCTCTTTCTTTTTATTCTTAGATAAGGGGCTCAATCCCTCAGGCAGCTGTAAAGTTCCATCTACCACTGTCCTGTCCGCCGCTGTCAGCTGCTCTGGGTCCCATCATGCCTCATGGCATCACCAGCACCCCATTACCCATCCTCCAGCAGGGCGGATACTTGATGCCCACCGCCCCCTTTGCTGGGATGATGCCAGCCTCTGTGTATCCAAACCATTGGTCCGGTTTGCCCAGTCCAGTGGGCATGTTTGCTACAGCCGGTATGGTCCCGTACCCAGCCATGGGCAGCCCAGCACTGCAGACTTTTCCTCTGGTGGTGAAAAGCCCAGACGCCCCGATGTGCCCCAGCAAAGCCAGGACTGCATAGGAGTGCCACCCTGCACTCCAAGCACCACAACAGATGCTGTTTTTTTGCGTAAGGCTAATCAATGCACACTTGCAGAAGGATAATCATGCAAGCTCAACACAGCTGATTACAGACATTTTCTCCTGGATGAATGAATTGCCCACTAGTTCGCAGAGCAGTGGGAATTTCTGCAACACTCTAGAATATGTTTTTAACTCTGCTTCAGGATCAAACCACAAACTCTGAAATGTCAGTGTGCTTTAGGTCGCTGTTGGATTATGGACACATCTGTGCAAAGCCTTTGAGCCTGTAAATATGAGGTGTGTGTATGTGAAATTGTGCATGAGGGGTGTGTTTGTGTCAGAACAGTCCTGTGGGCACTGCTTTCGCTTTTTTCCCTTTTTTGAAGACCTTTTAGTTCTTATGTTTGAATCTGTATTGAGGTGTGTTAGTAAAGGGTTTGGCTGAGAGTACTGCAGGACCATGGCCTTCAATTCTACTGCCATAGAGGATCATTTTATAATAATTTTCCCCATAATTCAACATACTGTGAGTGACTAACCTACGGTAGCATGAGCAGGCGGCTCTTGGAGCTATAGACATATTTCAAAAAACACGAGCAGAATAAATTTAGTCATTCTTACAATGATGTAAGAATTGAAATTCATGCTGCTTGTGTTTTATAAGAGGCTAAATGCTCAAAGTTGTCATGATTGATTATAGAAATATCAGTCCTACTTTTCAGTAATACTGTTTAGAATATTTTTCATAAATTTACAGCACTTTTGAGTGGCTTTCATTGGCTGTTTACAGAAATATCCAGCATTTTTAAACCATTTCAGACCACAGGACAAAATCCCTACATGAAAATTAATAATTCAGGACGATGTAGTGCCTTGATCAGTTTTCCCTCTAAAAGTATGACTCACTTCTGAGGACAAGCCATTCCTCTGTGGTTTAGCATGATTTTCCTTTTGTTCCTAATGCAATAGTTTTTTTCATAAGCCTTTTTTTCAGTCATGTGGTGGTTTACATATTTACTGTCCCGTTTGTTGAAGCGAGTTTGCAATCAATACATTTAACATAATTTTAAGTTTAAATAGGAGCTAGTCTGTGCAGATTGATAAATGAGTGCAGTTCCAGCTGTTGATGCTTGGGTTTCTGATCGTTGTACTGCATTCATAAGCAATACTGCACTACCATACTGTACTACAGCTGTACTAAGCACAGAGGAAGTGAACAAATTGTTTACATTGCGATGATGTAATGTATTAATGCATGCCATCAAAGCGTTGCACATACCAAAATACAAAATTAAGAATTGCTATTTGAATATATCAAGGAGCATTTTATGTGCTTGTGGTCTTGCAGAAACCCAAAGTGCGCCACCTTCCCTCTTTAGAGTGTAACACAGGGACTGAATGCAGGTTTGACTTTGGAATCAGTGTTGTGTGAACCCCGGATGTAGCATGTCAAATGCTGGAGCAGCACATTGACATTACATGCATGTGAATCAATCCCCCTGTTATGTGCACCATAAACCTCACCTATAATGTAAAAGCTAGCCAGACTTGGCACAGAGCAGATCTACTTTGCATTCATACACACAAGTTAAGTTACTATTTTATCAACTCTATGATTTTTATTTGCTTTGAATAACAGCTGAAGATTTTGTTTGTTTGTTTTCTCCATTTGCTCTGTTATGAGCTCTTTCACAGTGTCGGTGATGTTGAGATAATATTTAAATTTCTTTTAGTAGGGCAGTTCAATTGTTGTTTCATAAAAGTGATCCAATATGGGAGAACATGCAAGCAATTGAATATTAGCTCACACAGATACACATGTACAAAATGTATCTGTTTCCAAAACCCACATCCCAGTTTATACAGTTTTATTTGTTATACATTTCTGATAGAGCCAGCAGGCTGTTTTCTTTCTGAATTCTTCCATATTCTTCATCAGACTTTGAGTTTTTTTTAAACCTCATTTTCAACAGTATCTTTGTAAAAGGCTGCGACCCACACAACTGCCAAACTGTGAATTGTACAGTCCTCTTGTATTCATTTTATCAGTGCTTTTGATGCATCTTCTGTCCTTTAATGTGTCACTCCATCCATTCATTTGTACAGGATGTTCAATCAGTCAGAATGATCTGCTTCATGTGAAATGCTTCCAGTAGGAAGGGGTTTCTGATATTGTTTTTGCTGTGTAATGCTAAAATCTCTGTCAATAATTACTTTACTTTGCCATGTTAGTGACTTACTGATCAATCTGATGTGGCGTTTAATAGGTTGTGGACTTTTTTTTTTTTTCCTGCATTGGCGCTCTGTGAATGGTTGCTTATGATGCACACCCTTCAATTAATTACTTTACACCGCTCAGATACAAAATGCACTCACAACACAAAGACTTATAAATTAAAGAATAAATAAATATTTTGTGCTTAATAAATACTGTGTTCTTGTTATTTTCCTAGGCATGGCCAGTGATATTCTGAGCAGAGCTCTTCAGGTACAGGTAGCAAAAAAAAAAAGTGCTGTCTCATTCCAACAGTATGGAAGTATATGGGTAACAAAATTCATTTTGAAATGTAATTTGCAAAATGGCAATGCATTTCTTTATTTAAATTTACATTTTCCCATACATATGTGCAACGTTTAGTTCAAAACGAAAATTAAAATTAAATTATATAATTTACATTTTCCATTTCCTACACTAGTTTTAAAATGTAAATTAAAAACATTTTAACACTTTATAAGTTGCAAAATTAAAATAAAAATGTATTACCCAAATTGATTAGATGTTTAACATGTCCAAGTAAAAATATAATTTAAATGCCATTTTTCCTAAATGCATTTAGACTTACGGGTAGGACACTTGGGATTGCATTTTCATCGTGATACTGCGTGATAATTGTAGCAATGCATTCTCCTTGCCCTCTTAAAGGGGTCATCGAATGCAAAATTCACTTTTACATGTTTGAACTGAAATGTGTCTTGGCAATGTGTGTACACATCCATCCTATAATGATAAAAATCCACCCAGTGCTTTTTTTTTTTTTTTAATCTTGATAAATCCAAACCCCTTTCTCATATCAAGCCAATCTCAGATTCTTGGCAGAATGACGTAGTTCTGCACAGGCCCCTCCCACGATTGTTGATTGACAGTGGCATCAGTCTTTGGTTTTATCACAGCTCCACCTTGAGTGAGCTGTCATCAGTCCGCCATTGTTTTGATGCCGGAGCAGGAGTAGACAAGAATGACTCCTAAGCGATTGAGGTGTTTTGTTTTTTAATGTATGTAATGGATGTAATAATGAACATAGCAGTCGTCATTTACTCCCGGCCTCTGAGGCGCTGAAGACACAGTGGATTACTGTTACCGAGCGACTGAAGCGAGAGGCGTGCGGATCCATATGCAAAGCTTTATTAAAAGACAAGGTCAAAACAGGCAGTGGTCAACACCAGCAAACAGATATAGGCAGGATAAGATGAAAGCGTACTCCATAAGACAGGCGTGGGTCAATAGATGGCGAACATAATCCAGAGGGTGAGGCAAACGGGTAATCCACAAACAGGCAAGGTGCAAACAAAGTCCGAGAGGGCAATGCAAAGGGTAATCCAAGGCTGGCAATGACTCCAGGACAGACAGAGATCAGACAAGATGAGGTAAACAGGCTAGGATCAAGACACGAGTGAAAGCAGGCAATGAACAAGACTAGACTAGACTAGACTGGGAACTTGGACTGGAAACTAGGTCAGGGAAATAGCTCCATAAAGTAGCTATCGCTAGGAGAGTGATAAACGCTAAACAATACTCGGCGCTGAACTGTGGTTAGAGTCTTATATTTATAGTGTGTGTAATTGGCTGCAGGTGAGCACGAAATCAGTGAAATGGAACCTGGGAAATGTAGTCCGGGGTGACATGCAACAGTCTGTGTAGTGTGAGAGTCAATATAATCGGCAAGCAACCTCTGGTGGTGAGCAAATGGAAGACCACGGACAGGATTTGTGACAATTACGTTTGTTTTTGAGGGAATGCGCCCCCGATTTACCTAATTGCATCTATGTTCACGCGAATCATTCGTGATCCAGCTTCACCTACAGAAAAAGTGAGTATAAGGTTTTTTTTATGAATCTTTGCAAATCGCCTTTCCTAATAATGTGCTAGTTAGCAAGTTTCACGATGAATGCGGCTAAAGTTTACAGTCTCTCAGCGACTTGAAAGAGAGAGGCAGGGAGAGCAGAGCTCATTTGCATTTGAAGCAACATGCTACAAAACGGCTTGCTGTAAACAGCTGTTTTTGACAGGGTAAAAACGGTGTTGTTTTACACTACCATTGAGAAATTTTAACCAAAGTATGTTATAGATTTCTCATTAAGACCCTAAAGAATCATATAAAACTGTGGAAAAGCCCAGGGGCCTCTGCCCCATCCACGTGCTTGAAAATGGCCTGCATGTTTAGGACTTGATCACCATCACACTCTTATTTGAGCACTGGTTCAGCCGTTGCATCACAACCACTGATTTATATAATGTTCTCAAATATAGATCAGTGATCACAACACACAATTTTGTTGAAATGAACAAACTTCAACTGGTCTATATATGTGATGGCGCCGGCACCGCCGCAATTTGATATTCTCTGTTTTACCAGCGTTAACTCTGCCCCTGGTGTGACGCGGCATTGTCTAGTTGCCGCGCCCCCCCCCCCCCCTTTCTTTTTACTGGTCTCCACTGGCGCCCGTAGTCTCGCGGTGTGTTTATTGCCGCTCTCATTACGGTTCCGTATGTGAAACTTGACATACTTAGTCGAGCCAGGCTTCATCGCTGTGACACAGCGGGATTTTATACGTTCCCATAGCAATGTAGAGTGACCGAATCGAAAGGGAACGCTCTCGGTTACTCACGTAACCTCAGTTCTCTGAGATGAGACATTGCTCTTATTGCCGTGTCACCTAGGTCAGGATCTTAGAATGCCAAGTTGCTTCAGTCAAGATTCTGAATAGATGACGTACAAGCGCTGCTTTATATAGAGTGGGAGCCCCTCATATTTCGCACGCTTGAACGCCATTGGCCAGTTTCACTGGCGTGATCCAATAAGGCTTCAGTAGTATTTGGAGAAAAGGGTATTTCCCTTATTTCCCAAGGCCTGCATGCAATGGCCTCTACAATTAATCCAAAATGCCGCTGCAAGATTAATCTTTAATGAGCCGAAAAGAACACGTCACACCTCTGTTCATCAATTTGCACTGGCTACCAGTAGCTGCTCGCATAAAAATTAAGGCATTAATGTTTGCCTACAAAACCACCACTGGCTCTGCACCCATCTCAAAGAGACACAAAATCACTTTCACAGACTTTTTCATTAACTGTTCCCTCCTGGTGGAATGACCTGCCCAAATCAATCCCAGCAGCTGAGTCCTTAACCATCTTCAAGAAACGACTAAAAACACATCTGTTCCACCTTTATTTGACCCTCTAACTCTAACACTTTCTATTCTATTTTAATTATACTTTATCTATATTTATCTTTTTTTTATTCTTCATTTTAAAAAAAACAACAAAAAACAAAAACTAGCTTTCTATTTTTTCTATTATATCTACTTGTTTTTCTTTGTTTGTATGTGTATATGTGTGTGTTTATGTGTGTGTGTGTATAATAAATATATATATACCTTGCTACGTGTACTGCGTTAGGCTAACCGAGACTTGTCATTTGCACTTATATATTGTTGCTCTTTTGTTAGTTTTTACTGCTTTTATTGTCCTCATTTGTAAGTCGCTTTGGATAAAAGTGTCTGCTAAATGACTAAATGTAAATGTAAATGTTAGAGTGGACACATGCCGATTGGGGTGCAGACCACGCCTTCACAAGCTGCTGATGGGAGTCAGGGAAGAACTGGACCGACGCCCTCGAATCAGCTTGCCGGTGTGTCGATCTAAAATACCAGGAGTCAAGCCTACTGTCACGGGGCTGAAGAGACGTGAGACGTGTGGATCCATCTGCAAGCTTTTATTAAAGAGACGTGGTATAACAGGCAGGGTCGAACAATGGCAAACAGGTATGTGGCGGGCAAAAACACAAGAATAGTCCTAGGGCTAGCGTAGGTCACCGATCGGCAGACAGAATTACAGGGGTGAGACGAGAGGGAGAAATCCAGGAAAACAGGTAAAGATCAGAAACCGCAAAAACAGGCAAGGCAAAACAAGGAAAACACGGAGACTCGGAAAGGGGTACAGGCTAAACAATACTCAGCAGAGAATGGTGGTTTGAGTGGGTGTTATATAGTGAGTGAGGTGATAAGAAACAGCTGTGTGCAATGAGTGCAATCAGTGCAGTGTGCAAATTGTGCAATGAATGATGGGATATGTAGTCCGGGGTGCTATGCAACAGTTTGTGTTGTGCAAGAGTCAATGTAAAGGAAAGGGTGACCTCTGGTGGTGAATAAATGGAAGTCCATGGACCGAATTCGTGACAGAGCCCCCCCCCAAGGAGCGGCTTCCAGACGCTCCAAACACTAAACGAACCAGGTGGGTGGTGGAGCGGAGGCAGAACAGGGGGAGGGACGGAGGGCCAGGTCCAAGGATAGGAGAGACCAGGGACTGAGGCAGAGCCGGCGGAGCTGAGGACCACCACAGCAGAGCAGACGGGACCGAAGATCCCCACGGCGGAGCAGAAGACCACCAGAACCAGACAGTAGACCACCACGGCGGAGCAGAGGACCACCAGAACCAGACAGTAGACCACCACGTTATTTTCCTAGGCATGGCCAGTGATATTCTGAGCAGAGCTCTTCAGGTACAGGTAGCAAAAAAAAAAAGTGCTGTCTCATTCCAACAGTATGGAAGTATATGGGTAACAAAATTCATTTTGAAATGTAATTTGCAAAATGGCAATGCATTTCTTTATTTAAATTTACATTTTCCCATACATATGTGCAACGTTTAGTTCAAAACGAAAATTAAAATTAAATTATATAATTTACATTTTCCATTTCCTACACTAGTTTTAAAATGTAAATTAAAAACATTTTAACACTTTATAAGTTGCAAAATTAAAATAAAAATGTATTACCCAAATTGATTAGATGTTTAACATGTCCAAGTAAAAATATAATTTAAATGCCATTTTTCCTAAATGCATTTAGACTTACGGGTAGGACACTTGGGATTGCATTTTCATCGTGATACTGCGTGATAATTGTAGCAATGCATTCTCCTTGCCCTCTTAAAGGGGTCATCGAATGCAAAATTCACTTTTACATGTTTGAACTGAAATGTGTCTTGGCAATGTGTGTACACATCCATCCTATAATGATAAAAATCCACCCAGTGCTTTTTTTTTTTTTTTAATCTTGATAAATCCAAACCCCTTTCTCATATCAAGCCAATCTCAGATTC